CACAAATTAGTTAGCATAAATCAGTTAAATGACGAAAAATTAGGTGTCTATTTACTTGTGACCACTCAGAGTATGTTGAGTGGTTGGGGCATGTTTAGACCATACCTTGTTTGCTCACCTCACCTTTACTGTGCAGACTTGGGCTGTAGGAGGAAGGAAAAAGTATTATGAGTGATGTATATGTGGGGTGATCTGCACTACACTGCCAGGTCACCACCTCCCCACTTTTCACCATACTTGTAATCCTTTGTATCACCCCAATGGTTGAGTCCAACTGCTGAGGGTTCTCATAGTCTACCATCCTAGCAGTTAGGAATGGTAAGTGCCAAGGGTCTCCATTGCTCCACTTTATGAAGAAAGAGGAAGAGAATGTGTGTCTAGGAGACCTGGAAAAAATGCCTAGAAACTCTATTTTTAAAAGCCAGCAAGCACGAGCCAGAGAAGTTGGCAGGACGCTTCCTTGGTGCTGGCTCTTTTCATGATAGTCAATGCATTAGATATGGTCTGGATCAGATGATATATACATATATATATATATATATATGATAAGTATATCATAGGAGGCAAGACCAGCCACACGGTGGGATCTTATGTAATAAAAACGGAGCTTTGAAAATACATAGTATGCATTTTTCTCAAAGATGATGAGAAAATTGAAGATTGATGACCTGTATAAGCCAAAAAAAACTATTATGAGCTAAAATAATCAAAGGTGTAAAGAAAGAGTAATGTGTGGAGATTGTCTACATGCCCTCCTGGGGCCAATGAAAAAGTTCTGTAAGGGATAAAAAACTTGATGAGTCAAATACAAAAAAGGGTGTTATAATTAGTGAATATCCATATCTCAAGATGAACATACTAACTGAAAGAGATGACTGACCAATCTATTAAGCATAGGAGAAAGGTCCATGGAAAACGAGAAAACCCAAGATAGGGACAGAGAAATATTGGGACCTCAAAAGGGAAGGTTCCATGAAAAATCAAACTGAAAAGTCCAACAAGGCTGAGGAACTGAACCGAGTCTAAACTGCCCAAAATTAGAAGCAGAAGGAAGTGAGAAATGAGAGAAGTACAGTCAATCTCCCGAGGAAAAAATTACTCTGGGAAAAGGAGTACAGGAGTGTGGTAGAAGAAGTTACTAGAAGCATCTATAGGATAGACATCTAAACAATGATAATCACAAGCAAAAAAGAGGAGGAAACATATCCGGAGAGAAAGTTGGTACAAAAGGAATTCTAATTAACAGCTCAGATGGGATAAGCATAAGATGGAGCAAAACCTAAGGTCCCAGCTAGGTATAGGATGTAACGAATTTGTTATTATATATTTATTTTAATATCAACGTTTGTATAGATTAAATTTATATTTAGAAACATGCATAGCCTATACAGTTAAATATGTTTTGCAAGACTTCCACCTATTCTCCAAAGTTTTAGAATATTTTTGAGAGTAAGAATCAACAATATATGTGTATATGTAAATGCTTAAATTTGTATTCTTATGTAAAGCTGAAATTTCTAGAATGCCTCCACAGCCTATAAATTTAACCAACACGACCCGCTGAAAAAAAGAGTATCTATTATTGGTTTGCTATATTTGATGTGCTAAAAAAACTTTATAAGCTATAACTGTGATTAACGCTTATTAATCAGGAACTTCAGATATATTGACCAGGAACATTTATAAATTTCGAACATTACAAATCATTCAACTTTAGTGGATTCACATCGGACATTAGTACTTTTACGAAAACATTACCTAATGTCACCAGTGAAACTCGACCTGTAATCGGCATGTGATCAGTGAGAACTACAGGGCTAGCTAGCACCCTACTAAGTGCATTGTACCTATATCAACTTGCTCATTGTGAACCCTTGATAAGATATCAAGGAAGTTCCAAACTAGATAGAAGGCATTATATTGCTT